GATCGTGATAATGAACGGGGATAATGTTGTTGATGATGATTAGGATGATAATGTTGGGCAGTGGTAAATGTACGTGTATTATGACGTGGTGGTAAATGGAAGGGATTTAAATCAAGTAATGATGGTAAATTTTGGGTATTATTAAAATTATTATTATAATGATGACGATGATGGTAATAACGATTATTATAATTATTATGATAAGGATTATGATGATAAATTGTACGTGGTGGTGGTGGAGGTGGTAAATTTCGACGTGGTGGTGGTGGTGGTGGTAAATTAGTTGTACGTGTACCTGAAAAGTTAGTATATCCATTAAATGTAGTAGTCGTACCTGTTTGAAATTTGTGTAGATAATTTTGCTTTCGATGATTGGATCCATATAACATAGGCTTAGGCTGAATTTGTTGTTTAAGATGATGGTAAGTTGGTGGTTGTTGTTGTTGAGGAGCATATGGTTGTAAATATAATGGTCGCATTGGTGGTAAATTAATATTTGGTAAATTATTTGCTGTTGTTGTTGCATATGTTGTTGGTTGTGGTATAATTGTAATTGATGACATTGTTAATTCTTTTCGTCAATTGAGATAATTTGGTGATGATTGAACTGGTAATGTGTGGGTGTGAGTATAATTTTTAAGCGAATTAACAATGATGTAAATAAATAGAGTAAAGATCAAATAAATAGATAAATAAATTAGTAAATAAATGAATATATATATGTATAAATAAATAAATAAATAAATAAATTCTGTTTTTTTATTATTATTTCTTAGTTTATTTTAGTTTTTTTTGTATTTTTAGTTTTTGAAATTGTTTTTTAGTGTTTTTTTAAATATATTTGCAGAAATGAAAATGAAATATTCTATTTTTGTATGAGTTGAAAAGAGAATGTGAAAATAAGCACCCTTTTAGAATTGTTTTTTTAAGAATGAAAGTGAATCTTTAGTTTCTTTTAGTAAATTAAGTGGAGTAATAGAAATTAAATTGTGCGATAGATAATATATATTGAGTAAATAGTTTGAGTGAAAAAAAGAATTGATAAATTTTATTGAATAAGTTCAAGTGGATTTGTTTTTAAGAAATGATTTTATTGATTTAGAGCAAGAAAAGATTATAGATTAAATTTATAGCGATAAATTTTATAGATTGAATAAAATAAATAAGTATATTTTTTGTTTTTGTTTTGTGAAATAAGAAAAAAATATTTTTTATATAAGTTTTGGTATGAAATAAGAAAGATTTGAATTAATTTTGAAGTGAAATTTGTTTAAGGAAAATGAAAAAATGAGGAAATATTTTTTGGTAAGAAAAAATAAGTGAATAAATATTTGAACGAGAGTTTTTTTGAATTAAATAATTTTTTAGTGTTTTTTGAAATGTTTTATTT